GGCGCCTGGGCAGTGCCCCTGCGTCCCTCCTGCTCCAAGACAGGACACGGCCCAGGGAGCTTTCCTTGTGACCTCTTAAAGCTGCAGCGATGACACCATGGGAAAGAGTAATTCATCTCTCACTCTTCTCTCAACTCTCTACACTCGTGTGCAACACACACACACACACACACACTCACACACCCGCCAGGCACCGGGCTGACTCACTCCACGGGTGACCGAGAAGGTGTGAGTTTTCCCTCCTGTCGGAAGCATCCGCTGGCTGACACGTTGAGAAGCTAGTTATGCCTCAGACCGCCACCTTCACTGAAAACCACGGCACGGAGGAGGGAGGAGGACAGGGCCACCCAGGGTTTCTTCATCAGGCCCCACGTGGGGAGGGTGCCTGGGTCAGGGAGGGAGGCGGACTCGGGAGGGTCAGCTCTGCGCAGTGCCCTCGCTCCGTGTGCACGGAACACGCTGGCGTGTACGAGCGGCGGACCGGACTGCCCCTCGGGAGCCCACGTCCGAGCTACACTCCATCACCCCGTTTCTGCTGGCCCTGCGCCCTGGAAAGAGGACTGGTGACGTTCATGCTAAGAATTTAAAATGTTTCCATCCTCCTGACTTTGGAAGGACAGGAACTAAGTGAAAAACACCATGACAACTCGAGAGGGAGGTCATGGGCGAAGGAAAGAGAAATCTCTTCTTGGGGTCCACGCGGCCAGAACCCTGCCGAGGGTACTGTGCCAAGGGACAGAGACCGAGCAAGGTGGACAGCGAGTGATCTCGCGCTGCACGAGCCTAAGGAACAGAAACAAGCCCGCAGGAACAGAGGCTGCTGGTCGCAGACCTGGGGCTGGGGTGGGAGCCGGCCGATGAGGGTGGTCGAGGGGTCCACCCTTCCGCTGGGAGGTGCAGAGGGGTGGGGTGGCCTGTGTAGCATGGGGCCTAACACCCGTGCTCTGTGGCGTGTCTGAAAAGTACTAGGTGTGTCTTCACAGTGTCCGCCACACGCAAAAAGCTGAGATGCCCAGATGCGTTAACTGACCTAGGCCACCTTGGTGTCTGGGTGTATCTCATGCCGCTACTCTGCACGCCTTAGACCTGACACGTGTGGTGTGTCGACTTCATCTTGATCAAGCTGGGAGAACAATAACGCCCAACTGGGGCAGCGAGGAGAGTGTCCCTGCCCCCATCCATTGACCCTGGATCTGCCCGGCGCCCCGGGCTCTGGGTCTCCCGAGGGTGTTCGTCAGAGGACAGATCGGTGCCCAGGACCCGCAGCTCTGCCCTGCAGCTCTGACCCTCCTCGCTAGTTGCTGGCGCCCTCAGCCACCGCGGGCCACCTCACCCCCCCCACCAAGCACTGAGGTCAGCGGCTGCCCCTAGGGTCCGCCAGCTCCACGGGCACCCCTACACGTGGACCTGGTCCAGTCTGGAGGGTGACACTGTGTGAGGCCCCGAGCCCCCAGCCCCTCTGACCACAGAACCTGGGCTCCTCTGCCCTCTACACTCAGGATGCATCCTTCCAGAAGGTTCCTCAGCTCCTCCGGAGATGCGACCCCTGGCGGCCTCCGCCCTGGCCACCCTCACCCTCCTCGGGACTAAGAGTGTGGGCTGGGAGCCCTCTGAAACATGCAATGTCGGGGCCCCCCTCCCCTTCTCCTCGGTGAACGCAGCCCACGGACTCACGGGAAACACGAAATGCTCACATTGGCCAGGAGGTCGTGGCTTGTCCCCACAACCGCCATTTTCAAAGCCACAAATCAACAGTGTTGAATGTCCCGTTGGCAGAATCCCCCGCTCCTGAACCACGTCGGAGAACAGTGTCCATGGGCAGAGCAGTACAAAGGATATGGGGTAGCTTGTTCTTTGGTTTTGGGGATGCCATCAGAACCGAGTAACCTCGAACAAGCATGAAGGATGGAGTCTTCTTTGCAGACTCGTAGGCTCTGGACCTCCCGCGGACTTAAGAACAGGCAAGTTCTCGGGGGCAAAGTCACGTAGAAACACACACAGGCCAGGTCAGAAAAGCCTCTTCAGTCAAACCTCGTGGATGCGTGTTCAGAAGAGGCTCCTGTTTCCAGAAAACACGGGAAGAACCCTGGACCCTACTGCATAAGCGGAGCGTGGCCTGAGGGTTGGGGGTGAGGTTACAGAAGCCCAGGGCCGAACGCCCGGGCCGACGCTCCCTTCCCCTCCACAGCGCCCCGTGGGAGAGCTCAGCTCCTCGGACCCCCGCCCAGGAGGAAGACCGGGCAGCTGGGGCTGAAGCCACAGCTTCATGGCTAAGGGACAGGATGGCCGACTGCACATTCTCCGTGTCCGCTCCGTGGCGGTGAGTTCTGTACCATCTGCTGACGAATCCCCGTCTCTGCGTCTGCGTGGAAGGCTCCCGGGAGAGGGGTGCTGGGCACACGGGAAGGCGGGTGTGTCTGCAGCGGCAGAAAGCACAGGGTCTCGGGGAAGCCTGGGAACACGTCCTTGCTCTGTGTGGCCGGGGGTGACTCGGTTAACTCCCCAAACACTCAGTTTTTAAATCTCTGAAATGGGGGCAACAATAGTACCTAGCTTTCAGGTCATTGTTAATATGGTATGGTTAAAGTTGTTCATGAATTTAATAGTGCTTTGCATCTGGTCACTGTCCTCAAGTGGTCACTCTTAATATAGCTAATAATGCAGTCAACCCAGTCTGTGTTCCTATTAGGTACACGGAGTTAATCATTAGAGTTATTAACAGAGAGGGAAAGACGAGGCGCATGTCCACCGGCAGGCGCTGGAAGGTGGCCTGAAGGAAGTCAGTGGGGAAGGGGGTGGGGGAGACTCAGCTCCTAGGCTTCAATCTTGATGCTCGACACACATGAACCTCTCCCAGGCCCAGGGCCACAGCCAGAACAGCCCGGTCACACCCAAGTCTATCGTGTCCCGTCCCATCCCTCTTAGTTCTAACCCAGCTCCCACTCCGTCACACTCCCACAGTGACAACAGGCCTCTCCCAGCCAGACAGCGGTTCCAGGAGTCTTGGGAGTCCAGAGTCCCCAAAGCTGCTGATGCGGGACACCACTTACTGCGTCCCATCCCTTGGATTCACGCCTGAAGGCTGTTCATTCAGGGGGCATTAGCCCCGACAGGAGCAAGAGATGGGGCTGCGCCGTCACTGTGACGACCCCCAGCCAAAGAGCAGAGCAGAATGAAAGGGCTCCGGTCTCGAGGACAAGCTACCACCCCGTCCCAGCCTCTCCTGTGCCGGGCCCTGCTCATACATGACCACTTTAGGGGAAAAAACATGGTTGTTTTTTTTAAAGGAAAATTAATACTTTCTAATACCTACAGATTAGGCAATGTTTGATGAAGCAATGGCTGCTTAGATATAGCACCAAAATTACCAAAAAAAAAAAGAATAAATTAACCGAACTTCATCCAAGGCAAAAACCTTTGTGCTTGAAAAGACACCAGCCAGAGTGTGACAGAATAACCCCCAGCAGGGGAGAGAAAACCCACAAATCACTTCTACGATAAGGACGGGCCCGAGAGCACATGATGCAGGAGACTGAGCGCCCACCTGGACCACAAGTACGCTGAACTCTATACGTACCGACACTTACATTCCCTTGATGGACAGTGTACACACCCATAGTTATTAGTTTACAAATGCGCACAAATATAAACTGTTAATTATAAATGTAAACAAACTTTATTTACATACGCAGCAACAAATTACACACACACACGCACACACACACGCACAGTAATAAGTGCTGGAAGAACACCAGAGCAGGACGAGGGGGCCTGAGCTTGCATGCCCAGGCCTCTGGGAAGCTGACATCTGAACAGAGACCCAAGGGTGCCAGCAGCAGGAGGCAGGTCCCCCAGGAGAAGCCCCAGGTCGCAGGCCTTGCAAGAACCACCTGCAGGCTGGGCTGCACCCGTGAGCTCCGAGGCCATGCTCCCAGGTAGGAATCGGTTCTGGGTGGGTGCCCGCACCTGAGCGCCCAAGGCCTTGGGTGCTGTGGCGAGGACTTTGCACTCTGTATCTAGACTGCTCTCCCGCTTTGTTAATGAGAACAAGGGGACAGGCTAGGAGGGCTCAGGCAGCCTCTGCACCTTGTCCAAGGACAGGGTCCCAGCGGGAGCCAGGCTCCCACGCTGACCACTCCGCAGGCTCCCTCCATCCCGCAGTGTCTTCTGGGCCTTTCATTCCTGGTCCTGGGAACCACACGAAATTGACATGTGTTTTTGTAGGTTAGACTTTCATACTGACCCAAATCTCTCTCACTGCTTTGGGGTTGGTTGGGAGGAGTGTGTGGGTGAAGTTCGGCAGATCAGGGCCCCTCCGGTGCCCAGCTCAGGCCCCCAGCCGGAGCTGCCTCTGCGGGTATTTCTGCCTGGGGCCGGCACTGGGCTCCTTCTGGGGCGCCGGGCAGACCAGCTGGGCGAACCTGAGCGTGCTTCCCAGAGAGATCCTGGTGGCACCGCCCGGCCCTGCGCCAGCCCCATTGTTCCCGATTCGCTGGGACAGGGGGAGGAGGCTCTGCTGCGCCGGCGGCCCCAGGTGCTGCGCGCAGGGACCCACTCTGAGACCGTCTGCTCTAGATATCTGTGGCGTGGATGAAGGTTCTGCTGGTTTCAGGGTCGGCCCGGGTGTCCAGCCACACGGGTCACTCTCTGCTCATTCTGCAACCTCGAAATCTCCCCGCTGGCCCGCCCGCCTAGCCCTCCTCCGCCCGCTGCGCCAGGTGGTGCGGCTCCCGCAGCTCCTCCCCGCCGCCTCCCGCCCGCCTCCCGCCCCCAGGCCCGGAGGGGCGCGCTCCCTCCCCGGGCGGAGGTCTCGGAACCGGCCGGGCGGGGCGCTGCGCGGGGGCGGCGCTCGGTGGGCGTGGGCGCGGCGGAGCCAGCGGGCGGGGGCGCGGCGCACCTGGCTCCCGGCCCCTCCCTGCGCGCCGGCCCCCGCCCGCGGGACGCGCCAGCCCCTGCCTGCCGCCCTCCCAGAGGCCCGCCGCTGTCCTCCGCCGGCCCGCGTGGGCGGACGATGGGTCAGCGCGGATAAAGTGAATGAGGACGGCGCCGCGAGCTCCTGACTCGGCTGGGCCCGCCGGCTCCATGGACGCGCCGTGCGCCTCGGCCGCCAAGCCCCCCACCGGGTAAGCGCCGGGCGGGGACCGGGGAGTGTGCGGGCACAGGGCTGGGGCGCGGGCACCGGAGGACGGGAAGCAAGGCGGTGGCGAGGGAGCAGCGCTGGCTCCAGGCAGGGCGCCCCCGCCGTGGCCCGCGCCCCGCGTCCCGGGGAAGGGGGTTGTGTACTTTGTGCGCCCGGGTCGTTGCCCAGGTGACAGTGTCAGGTGGAGGCCCGAGCCTTTTTCGAGTGTGCGCGCGCGCGCTCCCTTTCCGGGGTCCCGGCGGGCAGGGTCCCCACGGAGCCCTCCTGGTCCCTCCAACATTTGCCCGGCGGGGGGGGGGGGGGGCTCCGACTCCAGCCCCGTCACTGACGTGCCCTGTGCCAGCGTCCGGCTGCTCTGCCTCCCTGGCCACGGTTCCCGCAGGGAGAAGGGCAGGTTCCCAGACTGGGAAGACGTAGGACTCCGCGGTCTCCAAGGGTCATGTAGAGGGCACTGCCCTGGAAGTTTTCATGACAATCGTCCCTCTCCCCGACTTCGTGTTCTTGGTCCCCTGGACAGTGGACAGGGCGCAGGGAGGGGCCGGGCTGACTTGGGACCCGGCCTTGGTCCTAAAGTCCGGGCTTAGGTCCCTGCCCGCACCTCCACGGCGTGTTTCCATCCCACACCTCGCTTGTGCGGGTCACAGGCCACTCCACGTTTGACTCGCAGAAAGGCTCACATCCCTCCTTCCAGAGAAACGGCCCTACCCCTACCAGGGACTGAGCTGGGGTTAGATCCACCGGCCTCCAGACCAGGCCGCAGGGCCGCCTCGCCTCGCAGCGGGGTGCGCAGTCCCCGGGGGCAGGAGCCCTGTCCTGGCCGGGAGCAAACAGTGTGTGAGTCCTGCGAAAGGAATGAGGGGGCGGCACCTGCTCCTCAGTGGGCCACTTTCAGCTCAGCAACTGCTCCTGACCCGGGCTGCTTTGGGGACAACTAATCTGTTTTCTCTGCCGTCCTGCTCCCTCTGACTCACTCTGCCCTGTGCCCACAGGCTCCTGTCACCCAAGCCTGCCAGAGGTTTTCAAATCGGCTATTAAAAAAAAAAACACACCAAAAATTAAAAACCTCTCCCTTTAATGCCAGGAAAAAAATGAGCCAGGTTAGCAAACAAATAATGCCGAAGTCGAGGAATGTTGACAAGACTTTTTTTTTTCTTTGCAGTGCACTTAGTGGTGGTTAGGTCATTCCCTCTGAACAAACAGATCTCCCCCCAAAAGAAAATAAGTGTGGGAAGTCCCTCTTCACAGAAAGGGCGTCCCTACCTGAAGCAGAATCACATTTAAATCTATGCTTTGGGAACCTGTTCAGGAGCCGACAGGAAACCGGATTGTTTTGTCCGGTCACCTTCGAATGAATATGTAGAGAGCTCGCAGTGAGAGTAAAACCCTTCGTAGAAATCTGAGTATACGAGTGAAACCTGGAACCCCGACTCGGGGCTCTCTTTCCAGCCCGGCGCGACGCCCCGGGTCAGGTTCTCACTTGGCTTTTCTGAGCTCTGGTGGCCCCGGGGAAACAAAGGACGTTCCCTGCGAACAGGACCGAACCTGAAATTGTATCCTGTTCTGCTTGTTTGAACGTCTTTGCCCAAGAAGCAGACACACGGCCTTTAACTTCTGTCCCGACGAGCTCATCCATCGCCCTTTCGGCTTCAGGACCTTTGGTGAGCGGGCGCTGGGGAAACAGCCCTGCGTTTCTGTTTCCCGGCCGGGAATTCGCGCTTAATAACAGGGTCCTGTGAGTTAAAATCAGAGGAGAGAACTGGTTTGGGCTTTTGAGTATTTTTTAAAATGAAAGGTGTTTATTTTTTGTTACAGATGTCCCTCTTTTTCCCCCTTTGACGTCCTCCTCCCCGTCTCCACCGCCCCATCACTGCACTGTGGTCTGTGCCATTGGCTATGCGTGTATGCATATATGTTCTTTGGTTTAGCTCCCCCCCCCCCCCGCCAGGTTTGTCAGTCTGCTCCTGAGACGTGGAAGTAGGGAGCAGACTGCTGGGCTTCTTGAATCTTTCATATAATGTGGGTGCATCGCTCACTTACCAGGAAAGCTGGGGAGTGAAGTGTCTGGCTTTGGAGGCTGACATGGCAGTGGGGTTCCGGAGGGTCTCCCGGGCAATGACTGGTCCTCTCTGACCTGCTCCTCTGTTGCCCGAGAACAAGGTTGAGCTTGTCACACGCTCCGGGGAAGTGAACTTGGTTTCTCTTGGGTGCTGCCGCGATGGTTATCAAATCAGACTTGCAGTCGGTGATCAGTTTTCCAACCGATGTCACGAACTGGACTCATTCTTGTGTAGAAACAGCTAGTGGGGGTCGATGAGTGAAAGGGAGTTATACAGTCAGAGAAATCGCGTGCAGATTCCTATCTCGGATTATCTGACTGAATTATTAATAGGTAGTCATTTGTCATCTTTGCTGGGAACACAAGTGTGCGTTTTTAGTTGCAGTGAAGTTATATGTCTTTCTTAGTCATTTTGTGAATAGCGGTGACTTATCCTTTTAGGAAGGAGGACATACAGAAGAAACCCGCAAGTCAGACTCGATGTTACTCCAAGGAATTGGAGAACTCAGTTGAAGTGTAATAACTGACAGAATATTCTAGACCACGAGGAAAGGCGAATTTGCCTTTTGTAAAGTTTTAAAATAGATTTAAGCCCAGTTAAGACGACCTGTTTACTTTCAGAAATCGGCTTATTTGTGAGATCGGTCCCAATAGCGGGTGACGGAACCCAGGGTGACATTTTGCATTGAATTCTGTGCGAATGAGAGAGCGTGTTTGGGGTTCGGCAGGACGCTGGTCAATCTGTTTTCCAGGGAGGAGACATGTTTCTGTTGAATGGAGCACGAGCTCGATGCCTGTATTCGGGCACGAAGCTTACGTGGAACTCAGGGAAACTGCCGGTCAGTCTCATCACAATGGGCGCTTCAGGCAGACATGGGTGGTACTCATTTCTCCAATAATTTGTTTTTTTTAAATACGTTTTGATTTTTTAGAGAGAGAGAGGAAAGGAGAGAGAGATGGACACATCCATGTGAGAGAGAAACATGGATCTGCCGCCTCCTGCACGCCCCCTACTGGGGATCGAGCCCACAACCAGGGCACGTGCCCTGACCAGGAATCGAACTGGGACCTCTCAGTCCACGGGACTAACGCTCCATCTACTGAGCCACACCAGCTGGGCATTTCTCTAATAATTTAATCAAGTGATTAGAACAAGGAATAGTTTTTTAAAAATTAATCGAAGTGAGTAACGTGAGCGTACCCAGTTAATATTAAGTCCAGCAGGCCTGCTATTCTTATTGGTAAACACACAGACGTTTTCTATGCAGCTCTCGCAAACCTACAAATATAAGTGTACACCACAATAAGACATTTAGGTAGATAGCTTTTTTTTTTTTTTTAATGTTTTCTAGGCATTTGGCTTACGTGTTAGAGAATGGGTTTATCTTCTTTAAAATTATAGCATGTGTAATTATTTGTTCCATTAAGCTTTTCCGATTCAGTGTGAGGTCTATTTTTAAAAGCTATTGCTTCTGGGCTGTTCTTTTCAGTCTCCATTACATTTACTGGGGCAGCACTGGTTGATAACGTTATATAACTGAGTCGTTCATGTTGGCACCTCCTCTAAGAACATAGAAGTTGGGCACGGTTTGATGGAAAGTAGACCTAGGAATTTGGTGCTTTTGTAACTATACTTTTTTCTTATTAAGTGGGCGGAGTCGGGCATGTCCCTGTCACACTAGCAAGTGATCTCAGAGCATGTTAAATGTTTCTCTGCAGCTCTGGTTGTGCAAGGACGGAGAAGCTGCGGTGTGACTAAGTGTGTGCAACCTGGGCCCCTCCCTGGGAGGCCGTGGCCATCCTCAGTGCTCTGCTCTCCCCAGAGCCCGGCTGAGTGTCAGCCCCACACGCAGGTCTGGGTCCAGGGGCCTCTTTAATTTGGGATCTGGGCAGTGAAGTCATAAAATGCACATACGCCCAAGAGTCCTCCCATAATTATTAAGAAAACAAGATTATAGGCTGTCTCTGCAGGACCATAATAAGTGGTTTAGGTTTCTAGGCCTCCCTGGGCTTGGCTATTACATTGGTCATTGAGCAGAATTCTGATCGGAAGTCTCACAGATGAGCAGAAACATTTGATACCACAGGTGTTTCGACTGAGGCTGTGCAAGTTTAAAGTGTCGAGGTGCTTGATTCTGGCGTAGGCTTTGACTGAGCAGAGCATTGGGTAGAGGGTCGTATTTTTCTTACACATGGCTCCGGGCTCGCCCCATCCGCATTTCATTATGGGGTCTGTGGATCTTGACCAATTTTAGTTACACATTTTCAGTTACTTTACACTCTAACAGGACCTAGACTTGATATATACGAACGCTTTTATAGACCTTCACTTTTGTACTTTTTCTGTACTTAATATATTTAATACGACTTATATTATTGGTACATGTGTATATTGCTCTGTTGACAATAGGTCTTTGTTATTTTTTTAAAGTGTTTTTATTGATTATTTTAGAGAGGGAAGGAAAGAGAGAAACATCCATCAGCTGCCTCCTGCACGCCCCCTACTGGGGATCAAACCAGAAACCTGGGCTTGTGCCCTGACCAGGAATCGAACCTGGACCTCTGAGTCCATGGGACGACGCTTCATCCACCGAGCCACACCAGCTGAACTGCTATTATTTTTAAATGTTGCCCCACACCCTGCACGTCACCCCTTTGCGTCCTCACCTCACTGGGCCCCCGAGTGTTCATGCTCAGGGCCCCTGCCGGCTTCTCGCACCTGCACGGATGGCCGACCGCGTCCTGTCACGCTCCCGTGTGTCTCCCTGCTTGTCTGTCTTCACGTGTCTCCTCCCGTGGCCCCGTGGTTTCATTTGCCTTTTACAAAGTGGCAGTGGGATTCCTGCAGGCCCTCGCGGTGTTGAAGGCAGCCCAGGCTCGCTCCGTGCTCGGGGCCTGTGGCAGATCTGTGTTCCTCACTCACTCCC